GATGTGGAAAAATATTACGACGTCCAATTAGTTTATGTTTTATTTAATGATTCGTTAGACTTTGTACGACATATAACTTTATAACAATTTTATATTTTACTTGTAATGCATGTTGTACTATTATTTTTTTGATGTTTGGATCAGTTTTTCTGCAATTAATGTTTCGTATCAGTTTTTGATATTTTGTATTGGTTTTTCTGTACGTGGACAGGCATGTTTTAAAAAAACATATTAACCGCGATACTTTTAGAACGAACGTATTTATTAGCGACACTTTTAGAGGGAACGTATGTATTAGGGGCGACATGGACATGTAGTATAGTGGCTACAAAATTAGTAGGAACGAAAGATTATATTAATGATGATTTTGTGAACAATAAAAACGTGACATGGCGATTTGTCGCTGCTATTATCTTACGGTTTTATCTACGCCTCTTACCCTTTTTGGCAGCGATAAGGGTGCGTTTGGTTGTGGAAAATTTTCCAGTTTTCTAGGAAATTTTTCCAAGATAAACGGAAATTTTGAAAACGCGTTTGGTTCGTTCAGTTTTCCAAAGTTTTTCCAAGAAAATGAAAATTTTCAGTTTTCCAAATTGTATATAATTAGAAAAAGTGATTTTTACAGTTTTCCAAAGTTTTCTAAAATTCTAAAATGGAAAATGAAAACTCCACTCGTTCCAACCAAACACGTTTTCATTGAAAATTGAAAATGAAACTCAACCCTATTTTCTGAAAACATTTTCATACAAAATGAAAACAGTTTTCCACAACCAAACGCACCCTAAATGTCGCGATAAAGCCCATTTTTTAGTGTGTAAGCAATCATTAACTCAAAGTTACCACGTGGCTTCATCACTACAATGACATCTACCCATACGACTAAAGGTTGCCGTGTGCCTTCACGGTTACAGTGACACCTACTCATTGAACATGAATGACATAAGAAATATAAATATAGTAAGGCAGTTTAAAAAAATAAATCAATAAAATAAAAAATAATGAGAAATGCAATTAGCACTATCGGATTTTGGATGAAAAAAATCAAATGATCTTTGATTAAAAAGAGAATTTCGGATGGGTTACAAGACGTTTTGCACCACCCGATCACAATTGTTGGAGGAGTATGATCTATGGTCGTGATTATTTATTATATTTTTTTTATAAATTTTTAGGTTTTCAACAAATCCTAATCTTGTAATCAATATTTAAATTACAATTCCCAATTAACTTTAAAACCATATTTACCCATTGAAAATATTAATTTATTATAAATAAGAATTTTTCTCTATACATAACAATTTATGTTTTATAATATTGTATAATACATAATTTAAAACACAAATTATTATATATAGAGAAAAGTTGTTGTATACGAATCAACTCCTACATATTTTTCAAACTAAGCATATAAGACACCGTTATACGGAAAAAAAAAAACCTAAAACACAATGATCCAGAAGATTAAACCCGGATAAAATAGTAAGGACATCTTAACAAACAAGCTAAACGTTTTAGGAAATGACATCTTATCGGTTCGATGGTTCAAATGGTTCAACTGATTAAACCAATCCCAAAAACCGAATGAAATTGATGAAATCATGTGTCATATATATAGATATATATATATATATATATATATATATATATATATATATATATATATATATATATATATATAGGACCGTGAGATCACTTTATCTAATTAAATATTGCAATATTTTACTGTTCATAAAAATTAAATTTGTAATATTTTAATATTCTAAAACATATAATGATAGAATATATTGCATATTTTATTTTTACGAACAAAAGAATATTAGAATATTTCATTAAAAAATTTGGTCTCACGGTCTCACAATATTATGTTCGTCTCATATGAACACTTACTATATATATATATATATATATATATATATATATATATATATATATATATATATATATATATATATATATATATATATATATATATATATATAGGGAGAGGATCAAATAAGAACTCAAAAATGTTAAAAACCCTAAGAATCATTTTTTAAATGTTTTTTTAAAAGTATTTTACACAAATCAAATATTAATATTTAATAAATCAAAGTCTTCATTCCCTCTATTTTAACCGGCCGCCACCGGAACAGTGTTCGATTGCCACAGAAAGGTCGCCCTATCACAGCCGGATTAACACCAAATTTAATGACATCTTTTGATCAGATTCACAGTTTAATAAAACAAACATTTTAGATCTCATTTAAAAAGACTATATTTATAACTATTTTTCCACAAAATTTAATCAATGAAATAGAACTATTAATTGACAAATCACCACTAGAAAAAGGCCTCTAATGACACGTAATTTATGACGTGCACAGTTTTACGATACGCAAAAGTGCGTGACGTAAAAATAATGTCATCTCCCCAAAATTTTGAAAGATTTAGGACGCGCATTTTTGCGCGCCCTAGCATTTGTGTCAGAAAAAAATAAAACATATAAACACGGAAGACACCCATCATAAGCGCGTGTCCTGTGCACCATGTCGCTTTATAATTTTTAAACGCGCGTTCCTATTACAAAAAATGGGGACCAAAACTAGGGTTTTTTTTTTCAAGAACGTCACGAGGACTATCATTCTCTCATATCTCACATCCTTCGTCTCTGCCCTAACCCACCACCACCGCCTCCAACACTCACTGTCTCTTTTGGCCTCACACAGCGGCGGCAGCGGCCCTGTCGACGAACGCTTCATCCACCACCATGTTGCACTGCCCAACGCCTGTATCGGTCCTGAAGCATCACATATGGCGGAATCGAATCCAAATCTGTTATGGATAAGATTCAAGGTGAATTCATATTTCCTTGGGTAGGGTTACCTCAGTATGCCCGCTTCGCCTCCAATATTTTCTCCATTCAAAAAACTGCTACTAATTCTCACCACTCTTTCCAACAACGATTCCCCGGTAGTGGCGGGTACCCTGTTTTCTTCTCCACCTTTTTCCTTGCGACACTTTGATCCTTAAGTAGGCCTAGACTGCTTTGGTACGAACCCTAAATAGTTCTATTTTATCTTTTGCATTTCTGCACAAATTCATTCTCTTGTTCATCCAGATTTGTCCTCTTCACCGTCATGGCATTTTTTCTTTTTCTTGTTTTAGGGTGCCAGTCCTTTTATGTAACATCGAAGTTGATGGAGAAATTTAAAACCATAGAGGATGCTAGCGATAGGTGTTTTCTTACACTTTGTACTTAATTTCAATTACTTTTCCAGTTTTTCTCTGGTATATAAATATATGGTTTTTGAACATCAACAATTTTCCCTCCTTAATTTATTCAGAGACATATTTTTCAGTTGCTTTTGATTTTTGTGTTTTTTCAACCTCGATGTATTATTGTTGATTTTTGGCATTTGATTGTTAAAGGGAAGGAAGAGGGATTACACAGTATTATTCCCTTCAAATGATGACATGTACAAAATCCCACATGATATTCAAAGACAGGGCCATAAACCGAGTAGATAAATTTTTCACTTCAATTATGCTTTCATCTCTCTGGTAAGCGTTTTTCAATATAGGCAATGAATCATCTTTTTTACTCAATGTTCTTCATCTTCTAATCTAGGGGTTTTTATTCCCCTCGTCCTTGCTAAAAATTCAATTTTGATGCTGATAATATACATTTTTCATTACAAACCACATCAGTTTTCATTTGAAATTTAAAAATAAAAAAACTAAAACTATTTTATGTCGTTGGATTCTTAAATGTAGAATTAACAAATGTATGATACATTCTTTGCAGGCATATGACTAAGATCCCTCTAGCTGTTTGTAAAAGGTCTTATAGAAGGCTCTCACATATAGTACAACCCAAACTAGAAATCCTTCGTTAGTAAGGTTCATATCAATGGGACATCATTTGTACAATATTCGTATGTGTCTTGTCCGGATGGGATTCCATGTTGCTAATGTTACATAATTCAAAGAATGCACTTGCACCTGATAAACTAGCGAGTTCTCACCGTGATCGCTCCCAATAGAGCTAAAAGGTTCTGATCGTTTCCTTTTTATTCCTCCTAAAAATATTTGAAAATTTCATTCATTTTTCAATTGTGTGTTCTGTCTTGGGGCAATTTGTGGTCTTAATTAGGCATACATGATCAATTTTTTCACAAGTTTATATAATTTTATTTATTCTATTAAAAGCTTTCAAAATATCTTTTGTTTCTTATCAGTATATAGTATCCGTATGCTAGGGGTGTTTAAATTGCACATTTTGAAAGTAATCACGTGATTATTGGCACTTAGATCAATAATGTTTGAGTGACCTGGCTAACTGCCTTATGAATTTCATCATAGAATTATTGGTTTGATAATTAAGCTAGCATATTGAAATCAGTTACTAACTTTGAAATCATAATGGACCTAAATTAATTTAACTATAATTTTGTTGGCGGTAGATGCTCCATGAGGGTACAAATGACTTTTCTCTAATAAAATATATATTCTCTGATTACAAAGAGATTTTCTTTGAATGTTTATCTGGTTATGTTGAATACTATTGAGTACCTTCTTCTCCTATAATCGATATGGACTACTTTAATTGGATATGAATTCAGACTTTCGGGTATTTGTTGATCATCCAGAGAAAGAAGAAGGCCTTATGGTTGGGGCCGCTAGCTAGCTCAAGTCAACTTCAACAACTTGTATGTTTTATTTGTTATGTGACTAACAACTAAAACCTCAACTTTTAGTTTCATCATATAGTATGTCATATACTATATATATATATATATATGTACTCTACTCTACTTGCAACTTTATTTAAATTCATTCATGGATCTCGATTTTGATATATTATAGATATAAAGATTTTTTCTTTCTTTATTTCTTGGTTGGTGGTAGTTGTCAGAGCCTCAGATAGAGAGGGGTCAAGTTATGTTACCTTATTACCTTAAAGTAAATCATAATGTAACCTGCGAGTGTTTTGTCTGTAAATTGCATCTCAACTTTTGATAATGTCCCCGCCATTTCCTGTTGAACAGTTTCAGATCCTGTGTTGATTCTTGGTTCATTATCACTTTTTATTGAACATTAACTACAGGCATAAGAGATTATTGTTTACCTAAAGAGAGATTATCCAAGAGCTTTTTGGCATCAGTGGCAGCTTGAGGGTCATCACTACCAAATATGGTAACAAGAAGAAGTATGCAACCTTGACTACTCCCAATTATGTTTCTTGATTGTTATGGCCAAGTAATTTACTTATCATACTTTATATCATTCTATCGAAGCTATTTTAGTCTTTTTCTTATTAGTGTAAATTTTCAGACAAATTGCGACTGCTACTGGTCCATGTGGAAACAACAGAGACTACATTTTCTTGCTGGAGAAAGCTATGTTTGATATTGGTATGTTAATCTTCCCCTTGTCTTTTATTCTTTTTATTTATTTGTTAAATTACTTAATTGCCCTGTGTCAGCTTTTGTTTTTGCCCCACTAGATTCTTGCTTATCTCCTTGAAGCATATCTAAATTATGGTTTGTATATAATTAGGTCATGAAGATGACATGGTGATAAAATTGGCAAATGAAGTGAGAAAAGTACTTGGAAACACGGGTTTAGGAGTACCAAAAGAGAGCAACAACAGCAACAGCAACAACAATAGATTAACAGGACCTTCTCATAAACCCAAGTCACCTCATAAATTGCTTCATCTTCTTGAAGCAATTGCAATGGACAGCTGACCTAAGATAAGAGGAGAGAGGACAGAAGACAGACATATATAAAGATAACTTCATTCACTTAACTCCCACTGAATCGGCTGGCCAATAACACGACGACACATCAACAACCTCGTTTACTTCTCGTTTACGGCTGGCTAATATGAGTGCTCATGTAACAATAACACAGATGAAGTGATTTCTTTTAATAAGCACAATGTTAGACATGCTGGCTAGCATTTTTTTCAGTCTCTGCTTTGTGATTTTGCCTCACACTCTCACAGTATGAAAGTATAAATGAAGTTTTTTTTTTTTTTTTTTTTTGTTTTTTTTTGCCACTAACTTGAATGCAAAACAGGTGTTGGTTTAGATAAGCCAAACGAATGGGGATTTGATACTACACAGGTTGATAATATTCTCAAAAAGTTGAAAGTGGTAAGTTCTTCAGTTTTCTTCAGCTGAGCCTGTTCTCTCTTTTTTTTTTTTTTTTAAGTTTATTCACATAAATTATCTTATTAATCAAAATTTCATGTATATTTTGACAGCAAGCAACACAAACAAAACATGATGAAGGTATGCTTAAGTAACTGATTTGTAATCGTGATGAAGCTTTAGTATTTGTTAACTCATGATCCTTGTTTTCGTATCTCAGAGGATGATGATGAAGAAACAGACTTACCAAAGGACAATAGTGAAAAAACTACACGTCCCCAAGGAAGGTCATTTTCTTGCTCAAAATCGAATTTAATTCTAAATTATTCATTATATCCAAATTATTAATACATAGGTATATATTAATATATTATCAGATACAAGAGAAGGGAGAGAGGAAATCTTGTGAATGCATAATCTGCTCAGGATCTTGAGGCATCTGATAGAAGCAAATGCATGTTGATGCGCGTCGTACAAACTTCCTGCCTTTAGACCTGTTCCAATTCAAAATCTCGGTTTTACCAGACTTCACTAGTTGTTAAATAGCTTCTGTATGAAACAAACCTCTGTGTTTAGCCCCATTTTTTTATATTATTATTATTATTTAATTATTTGATATTGTTTCTAATATTTTTTTGTATGAATATGTATGTATTGTCTCTTTTAGGCTGCTTCTCAAGTTCATAGAGGTCAATAACTAACTAGCTTTGTTGATGGTTTTGTATGATTATTAGGCATTCGAACACTTGATAGGTATGTTTTCCATTTCATCTTAATTCTTTCACTGTTACTAAATTACCCATATATGAATTCATGATTACTTAATTTAATGGTGATTTCCAATCTTTTTTGATTTCCAACTTTCATCGCTCAAAAAATTGGATCTGTAGGTTGCTATTATTCCTCACAATTTAACCAAATTTTTTCACTGTTATGCAGTTTTATGACAAGTTTAAAAACCGCCATAACATCGTTGAACTTCTAGAATACCAAAATGCTTGGAAACAGGTAACTTTTTATTATTATGCCTCCAATAATTAGGTATAGAGCAGGAGAGGCTATGTGACTGGAAATCTTCATATTTGATCAACGAACCTATGGCATCCAATAAGTCGGAACTGTTGGGTTTAATCTTGACAGGTTGATTAGGGTCACATGTTAGTACTTTAGCCAGATTTGATTGGTTGCTGAATTGGTCATACGTTGACCAAGTTTGAAGGAGAATAATGGGGCTTAGTTGCCACAAACATAGGAAGCATATGCACATAGTATTTACGCTGGTTTTTGTAGTCTATAAATAAGTTAGTTTGTTTTTGTTTTTGTGTGTAATCAGTTTTTCTTTTGAAAGTAATATAGCAGTGAAAAGAAGTCCATATTTCCTGGTTGTTGTGTAAATCACATGAGAGTCGATAGTTGCAGGTGGGTTAAAGGAAGGGCTGATTACCAACACTTGGTATCAGAGCCCTAGGCTCATAGTGTCGGTTGTAGAAGAAGGGTTGATCAAATGTTAATGAAAGCAACAAGTTTGAGATAAGCAAAAAGCAAGTAGAAAGGCTTATCAAGTTGTGATTGGCAGAAAGAAGCATGCAACAAGCAAATACTTTTGATCAAGAAAGAAAGAAAAGAAGCAAGAAAGATAGCAGAAATCAAAGCAAGAGGCAACAAGATTCAAAGGATGACAACAAGACCCGAAAGAGACTTTAGCAAGAATGATCAGCGGAAAGAATGTCGCAGGAGAAGAAGTATGGCAGGGGGAGTCAAAAGAAGTTGTGGCTTGAGAGAAAGAGCACCAGGCTCATACCTGGTTCATTGTAGAAAGAAGAAAGACCGCTGCACTGAAGCAAATTAGAAAGAAGAATGAAGAAAGAAGAAAGAAAGAAAGATAGAAAGAAAGAAAGAAAGAAAGAAATAAGCAGCAAGTCCGATTACGTTTGGTGATCATAAGAAAGAAGCATCAAAATTTTCCGTAAGAACAATTGCAAGTGTAACAAGAAACAACGGTTGTCACATAGTCTCTAGCAAGTAGCAGCAAGTAGCAGACAAGACAATCATAGCAAGAAGAGAGTTTCGGGTTTGTAGCAAGTGGCAAACAATAAACAAAATGCATGAGACGACAAGAAGTCTGAGCAAGATAGAAGAACTATGTGTTCTTAAAGCAAGTAGCAAGATTGAGTCATAATGATTCAAATAGCAAGAGAAGTAAGATCAAAATCGTCAAGGTTAAGGTGGTGAATGTTGGGTTTAATCTTGACAGCTTGATTAGGGTCACGTGTTAGTACTTTAGCTAGATTTGATTGGTTGCTGAATTGGTCATATGTTGACCAAGTTTGAAGGAGAATAGTGGGGCTTAGTTGCCACAAACATAGGAAGCATATGCACATAGTATTTATGCTGGTTTGTGTAATCTATAAATAAGTTAGTTTGTTTTTGTTTTTGTGTGTAATCAGTTTTTCTTTTGAAAGTAATATAGCAGTGAGAAGAAGTGCATATTTCCTGGTTGTTGTGTAAATCACATGAGAGTCGATAGTTGCAGGTGGGTTAAAGGAAGGGCTGATTACCAACAGGAACAACTTGTATGAACAAGGTATGCAAAGAAAGCTTCACTACAAAAACATTCCACGTGGTTGAGTATAGTTATCGATGTGCTTTTAGGGAACCTTTTTGGCCTTACATTGCTGACACATGCAAATTCCGCCTGTTTGACTATTTTGACCTTCACTAGTGATGTTACAAACCACTAATAAGTTGTGCACGATTAATGGGAAACCCTACTTGTTTTAATTTGAACACTAAGCTTGCAGGAGTTCTTCACACTCTTTCTTTAAATTCAATTCACATTTGGTCTACAATATTAGGCTCCATGCGTTTTCTTTTTATTTTTTTTTTCATTAAAGTGTTAGCCATAACCTGGGTTATTTTTGGCAATACAACCCCTGTTGCACTAACACTTGACATGATTACTATCTCAACAACATATATATATATATATATATATATATATATATATATATATATATATATATATATATTCAACTCTACATTGGTTAATATCCCTCATTTGATTTAGGCAGATACACGTAACAACGACATTGTGGCGTCATTTTTGGTAATCAACAATCTGACATCATTACCCTTGAGTTGTTTAAACATGGTTACTGTTTGATGTTTTGAATTTTATTACAGGGGCAGAAGTGGAACTCACTTTGTGAGAGGTTACATTGCTGAGATATTTCCTTGAGAGTTTCTTGACCCAACCAGGTATTGTTGCTGAAAAAAGCATGCTTTGCCTTTGTGATGGAAGCTTTTCTAATATATGCTCTACATCTTCCTCAAAACCAACAGCAAACATTTGATCAGATTCATCAAGAACCAAGAACTGAACCCTTAGAGATGCTGGAGCCCTTAGAGAAGTTAAGGACAAACTTGAGAAGTGAGTTGAAGAGCTGACATGGAGATTAGACTTTGAAAAGCATTTTAGGGTATATTTTTTTATATTTATTGTATCTAATTAGTTTGTAAATTTTTGTTACAGCTTCTATTGATTTGTTTTATCTTTCCATGGAACAATTATTTGTATGACATTAAATTTTATGCAATGGATTGTATTTTTTGTACATGATATTTTATTTTCTATTATGAGACATTAAATACAAATTTAATTTGAAAATTAGTAAATCTAAAAATAATATTTTTTTTAAACATTTAAAATTATGATACGCAAAAATGTGTGTCATCTTCATTTATGGCATGACCTTTCTTGACAGGGGCTTTAATGATACGCAATGTGAGTCGTAAATGTGCGTCATAAGGTTACGACACGCAAATGCGTGTCATCTTTCTTTATGACAGGGCTTTCCTTGATATGCAATGCGTGTCGTAAATGTGTGTCGCAAAAGCGTGTCGTCTCTCGTTATGACAGGGCCTTCCTTCACACGCATTTGCGCGTCGTCTGAGCATTTTACAACACACATTGCGCGTCGTAAAAGGCTGTTTTTCTAGTAGTGAATTCATTTTTTTCTCTTAAATTTGTTCTTCTACAATGCACCAAAAATCACTCAAGAGGTCTAAAACAAACTTTCAAGGGTTAGGGTTTGGAAATGAGGGAATGAGGGAGTGGAGGGTGAGGGTAAGGAGGGTTTCAAGGCTTAATGTTCTTTAAATAGGGTTCAAACCTTAAAAATTAGGCTTTGGGACCTCTATGAGTACGCCCTACGTACCACTGGAGTATACCCAACATACTCAAAAGAGCCTCGTCATCCAATTCATGAGTTGCGTAAGGCGTAGCTATGGGTACGCCCTGCGTAATGACCAAAATGCAACTTTTTAAAAATTTAAGTCGAAATTGAAAATTTACCTAGAACACGGATGTTACATATGTTCTCTTATGTTTTTGATGTTGAACGATTTGGACATCAACTGCAACGACCATCCGGTAGACCATGAATTTTTTTTTTTTGTAAAATTATCATATTTTCTACCTTTTATGATGTTGCATATTGATAGAATATAAAACCATGATATTAAAATCACACTATTTAATGAAAATATTATCATCACAAACTTTCAACTTACTTTTTTAACCACTATAAACT